TCACAATCCACCACCCCTTCAGCGAAAGAGAAACTCAATATTCGGAAAGAGGGGCGAACTGCCCAACGTCTGTGGCTCGCTCCCCCGCAAACGGCGCGAACCCTGACTCACCAGTCTCCTTCGCCAAGTGATAGAACTTGTCCCGCCGGCTCTTCCCGACTTTGCCCTTCTTGCCCATGGCGGAATGGGGGAGTGTCACTCAATCTGGAGAGAAAGCAGAAATAGGGACGTCTCTTCCCGGAGCAGTAGACCAAACTTTCCGTTCTCCACTCGCCGCCACAAACACCGTTCCTTTTTCCACCACCCAGGGCCGTTTTCACCACCCCTGGAGCGGCACATGTAGGCAGCAAACGCATTTCCGCTTCCGCTTGCGTCTCTTGCGCCCGCGACGCCGACTTTTCCGCCATCTTGAGCGTGGCCACAAATTTTTCTCTACACTTTGTCCCCAGGTTCTGTAAGTTGGAAGCTGGCACCAGGAAAGAAGGTTACTTTAACCAAAACCGAGATTCTAGACAGTAACACTTAGGAGTTTCGTGCCCTCTTCTTCCCATTCCAAATCTCCTGACCTCCCCTAGCCCTCCTCTTTTCATGGTCCCTGTTATTTGTTATCGTCTGTCTTCTCCCCGCCCATTGACCCGGAACTGTTCTCTGTCCGGGTCTTCGGTCCCCAAGCCCCTGATTCTGCGCCTGCGCGCCAAAGAGACTCTGATGCCGGCGGTCACCGCGGAAGAGGGAAGATGGCGCTTGACGGACCAGAGCAGGTATGGCGGTGGCGGCGGCCGGGATGGGAACCGGGGCTTGATGCGGAACAGGTGTGATCCAAAGTGGGCAGTCGGCCGGCGCAACAGAGTCGAGGGAGTTGGGGGTGGGTGGACCAATGCAGACTGGGCCCTGCCTGGGACCGGATCTGCTGTGTCAGCGCCGCCACCGGCGGGTCAGGGCAGAGCCAGGAGTGAAGGACCCGGTGGAAGCCGAGTGAGAGGAGCCGGGGGAGCGGGAACCGGCCCTTTCGCGAGTCGCTGGAGTCAGGGCACAAGTCCTTCTTGCTGGCTCCTCCTGTAGTAATAACGCTTCGGGTTTGTATAGCGTTCCCGTGTGTGTCGTCTCTTGATCTCCTGATAGTCTTAAGAGGTAGGAGGCATTCTCATTCTGCTTTTAGTTTAGTCATGGGGAAATGGAGGGTTCTGAAGAGATGGAGTGAGGGGTTAGAACTCACGTTTTATTAAGTCTTCATAGTCCAAGCTGGAAGTAGCTTTTTACCTTCGATGTTTAGCCTGTTGTGTAATAGTTACACTGTGTCTTCAGATGGAGCTGGAAGAGGGGAAGGCAGGCAGTGGACTCCGCCAATACTATCTGTCCAAGATTGAAGAACTCCAGGTGAGAATGGACTCCAAAGGTCCAGAGGGAGCTAGAAGGGGATGTAGGATTGACGAAGAAGATTTCTCAAATCCATGTAGTTCCACTGGGGGCTCAGTGAAAGAAGAAACAAGCCAACAATGTAAAGTACATGAAGTTATTAGTCTCTTGTTCCCCTTAAGTCCCATCCATTTGAAGGTAACCAATACTCAGTTTGTTAAACATCTTCAAGAGTCAGATTTAACAAGAAAGGTACCCCAGCCCAAGGCCATACCTTTTGGAAGAAGCCTGAATGAAGGGCTTTCTTACAAAAGGGAACACAGGCTCAGGAGATGAAATTTATCAGAGACGGGTTGAGGCATAGTGAGGAAAGACAGAACTGAGGAGTCTGGACAATGCTGATTCCATGGGACTGAATGAAGAACTGGACAACCCAGTGCTCTAGCCTAAAGAGGGAGCAGGGACCACAGAAATGAGAATAATAATGTAAATTGAATGGAAGAGAGCCACAAGGAAAAATTCTGAACTCGTTACATTTGCAGATATTATATTTGGTTTGTCATTTTTGAAATGTTTTACGTGTGCTTTCATTTGTTCTTCACGTTAGTCCTGAGAAGACACAGGGTAGGAGGTGCTAGACCCACTGGCAGTTTGGTAATAGATGTAGACCTTTTAAATGGCTTTCATTAGCCTTACCCAGCTGTTAATTGCCAGCAGTGGGGCTAGAACTTAGGCTTCTAACTCAGAGATCTTTCCACTCTACCATGTTATCACTCTGTGAGACTGACTGTGTGAGCCAGCTGTTAACTCTTCTCAGTTGGCGTTTGATATTCCTGGACCAGTATTAGACAAGCAGCTGTTTTTTGATGGTTGTCCTACGCTCCAGAGGGACTCTTGGAGGACAGTACAGGGTCATTAGGATCAATATTAGAGAATCTGAAACATGCAGGTGCCCTGTACTCTTTCCTCACCCAACTCATACCAGCCTATGAGGGTCTTGGCCAACATTTTAACCTCCTACTGTTTTCACCCCTTTGCTTGTTGTCCTCTGCAGCTGATTGTGAACGATAAGAGCCAAAATCTCCGGAGGCTGCAGGCACAGAGGAATGAGCTTAATGCAAAAGGTGAGGGGGGAGAGATGGGAGGGCTCCGTGTGGGCAGTTTGTCTGAGATCTAACTGTTCAGTCTTCCTGAAGTGAGTTTTCACATTTGGTGCTGTTTTCTCCCAGTAGAAGGGGATGCTTTGCACTGTCGTCACATAGTTGTTCACATGCACATCTCTCTCCCAAGCCCCATCGTAATCTCTTAAGATATGAATTTTTTACTTTTTTGAGGCTTTCCCTTCAGAACTTTAAAGCGGCGCTTTGTTCACGCATGTTGAATTTAGTCATGGGTGAGGGGACACCAAAGTGTCTGGGTGACCACTATGTCTGTTTCCCATCCAGTTCGCCTGCTGCGGGAAGAGCTGCAGCTGTTGCAGGAACAGGGCTCCTATGTGGGGGAAGTGGTCCGGGCCATGGATAAGAAGAAAGTGTTGGTTAAGGTAAAGACAGTATGACCCTAGGGGCCAGCCCACTGCCCACTGCATTCCCATACCATGTGCAGTGACGACACTGTTCTGTCATTTTACTGTAATAAGACTCATGGGTCTTCCTGGGTGAGGTTGGTGATTCGGTGGCTGTCAGGGAAGGTCATGAGCCCTTGTTTCTCTAGGTACATCCCGAGGGCAAGTTTGTCGTAGATGTGGACAAGAACATCGACATCAATGACGTGAGTGCTGCAGGTGAGGCGGGAGGTGGGGGTCAGCTCTCACCACACCACTTCCTCAAACTCTCTCCCCTCACCCAGGTGACACCCAATTGCCGGGTAGCCCTCAGAAATGACAGCTACACTCTGCACAAGATCCTGCCTAACAAGGTTGACCCACTAGTGTCACTGATGATGGTGGAGAAGGTGCCAGATTCAACTTATGAGATGATTGGTGGGCTGGACAAGCAGATCAAGGAGATCAAAGAAGTGATCGAGCTACCCGTTAAGCATCCTGAGCTTTTTGAAGCGCTAGGCATCGCACAGCCCAAGGTGAGCAGGGCTTCTGTGGAGGGGGCTGTGCTGTTGCCATATGCCTCCTGGCTGGGGCTGAACTGAATGTGCGGGGCAGGGCTGGGGAGATGTTGGGATTGACAGGAGCCTACTTAAGCTGGCCCTTCCCACGCAGATGGTGCCAGAGCACTGAAGTGGTTTGGGTATATGCTCCAGAAGGGACCTTGATACTTTTTGTGTCTCTAGCATCTAGCATGGGATCTATCTAGCACAGTGCAAACCCAGTAAATGTTCAGTGAGTGAGACGTGGGGCTGGCTTTCTGCCCTGAGTCGTGCTGTTGCTCTCTAGGGAGTGCTGCTGTACGGACCCCCAGGCACTGGGAAGACGCTGTTAGCCCGGGCTGTGGCTCATCATACAGACTGTACCTTTATTCGTGTCTCTGGCTCTGAATTGGTACAGAAATTCATCGGGGAAGGTAACTGTGGCCAGAAACACCACAACTAAAGCTGGAATAGAGGGGTGGAAGCGAGGGTAGGGAGCTCATCAGCTCTTTGACGCCAGCTTGGCCTCTGCACAGGGGCAAGGATGGTGAGGGAGCTGTTTGTCATGGCCCGAGAACACGCTCCGTCCATTATCTTCATGGACGAAATCGACTCCATCGGATCCTCACGGTTGGAGGGGGGCTCCGGAGGAGACAGTGAGGTCCAGCGCACGATGCTGGAGCTGCTCAACCAGCTGGATGGCTTTGAGGCCACCAAGAATATCAAGGTGAGGTAGGGTCGGCCATGGGGTGAGCCAAAGGAAAGCCCTGGGTAAGGTGCAGCCTCAGGAAGGGCTTAGCTGATGCCACCCGTTGTGTCTACTCAGGTCATCATGGCCACTAATAGGATTGATATCCTGGACTCAGCACTGCTTCGCCCAGGGCGCATCGACAGAAAAATTGAATTCCCTCCCCCTAACGAAGAGGTTTGTGATGGGTAGCGCTGGGAGTGGCTCTGGCTCTGGGGGTAGGCCGTGGGCTCAGGCTGTTCTCTCCCATACCTAGGCCCGGCTGGACATCTTGAAGATCCACTCTCGGAAAATGAACCTGACCCGGGGGATCAACCTGAGAAAAATTGCAGAGCTCATGCCGGGAGCGTCAGGGGCTGAAGTGAAGGTAATTGGAGTGCCCAGGGAGAGGGGCAGAGGCAGGAAGCTCTGGGTTCAAGGGCACTGCAGCAGCACCTGTCTTCCTTTCCCCACGCAGGGCGTGTGCACTGAAGCCGGCATGTACGCTCTGCGGGAACGGCGAGTCCATGTCACCCAGGAGGACTTTGAGATGGCAGTAGCCAAGGTACAGGCCTCCATCTTTCTGCCTTTGCTGATGATGGCTCTGGAGCAGTGGGGTTAGGGTACGTGTTCACTCAGTTTCTAACTCAAATGTTGTCTCTCTCCAGGTCATGCAGAAGGACAGTGAGAAAAACATGTCTATCAAGAAGCTGTGGAAGTGAGGCGGGTGTCCCTAGTGTGGATCCCTCAAATAAAGCTCTGCAGGACAAGCCCTTGAGGACTTGAGTCTGTTAATGAGTGGCTGCACTGTTCAGTGACCAGGTCTGGGTACCACCAATAAACAAAGGTTTATTTGGAAATTTCCAAACCTGCCAGAAGTGGCACTTGCCAAGCCCTAGGCCCACCCTCCTTTCCAAGCTCCAAAGGGCAACAACAGTCCTCCCCGCCTCCCCGCTTCGCCTCCCCCTGCCCTCCACCAAGCACGCACGCCCACACCTCAGGCCCTGCTGGAGGACTAGTGTGTACCCTCCCTCAAGGAGGTGTTACCCCTGGGCCCAAGTGCTGGGTGGCAGCCCTCTGGCATCCCAGGAGATGATGGCGGCCAGAGCCGCTTGCATAGATTGAGGAAAGAAAAGAAAGGAGGAGGCACCAATTAGGGCTCCCTAAAAAACCCCAACTTACCCCCCCCCCCGTACAAAAAAAGTGGCTCCCGCATAGAAAAACCTGCTCCACAAATAGTGCAAATACCCGAAGGAAAGGAAAAAACCAGCAGCTAGGCTGGGCTGGTAGGAATGGCAAAGAACTTTGGTTTAGAAGGGCTGGGAAAAGAGGGAGCTGTGCCCCTCTTCCTCGCCCAGCTCCCCAGAGCCAGTGCTGACACTCGCCCCAAGGGGGTCTGTAAACAAGCAAAGCCAGCGGCCTTTGGTTCTGAAAGTCTCGGTTGCAATGTCAGAGCATAGCCTCCAGGCCCTACTTGGGCCTGCCTGCCTGCCTGCCTGCCTGGGGCGAGGAGGCCTCTGCTGTGAACCCAACTAAAGCCAGCGTGTGAAGTGGGTCAGTAAGTAAGGCTCTGGGGACAAGCAACAAGGAATCCTATCACTACATTTATGAAGCTAAAGCCGGGGAGCAGCGGGTGACAGGAGACATCCTCAGCCCGCTCCTTATCCTACGCGTCTGCACCCCAGAGGGTGGTCCCCTTCCGGGCGGAGGAGAGGGTGGCTCCAGGGCCTGGAGAGAGGAAAGGATCCCTGAGCAGTTAGGTCAGGCGGATTCCCAGCACCTGTTCCAGTTCCTGCCTTCGCTGCTGCACCTGGAGGAGGAGAGACCAGCGGCTCAGGCCTGTCTCCTGCCAGCCATGGCCAGCAGCTCACCCTGCCCCTCCCATGTGTAGCAGCTCACAGCCACGGGCCGTCAGGCGGGGCAGAGCTGCCTCACCTTGGCAAAGATGTGTCTCCCCACTGCTTCCTGGGCCCACGGCTGATGGTAGAAAGCAGCTCGTCTCTCCTCCTCGGGATTCCCAATCACATCAGTGATGATCTGCAGAGAGCCAGGAGGAAAGCCTTAGCATGATGCCCACCTGAGCTGATCTGCCCCTGGAACCAGAAGCATAGTGATTGGGGTAAAACCATCCAGAGCTTAACATGGGCTCAACCTCTGGAAAGAGGACCACACCTTGAGGTCTCGGCGCTGGGAACGGAGCCATTCCTGGATGAAGTCCTGAGGGTCAGTGCTGAAACTGAGCATGAAATCCCTCTGAGTCTTCAGCTGGTTGATGGACTCAATGGTCTCATGGATCTGGGGAAAGGGTGCATGTGTCAGACTGGTCCCCACCCCTAGGGAGTCTGTTTCTAGGCCTAACCCCAAAGAACTCAGACAAAGATCACTTTCCAAGGTGCCACAAGGATGCAAATAACCGACAGAGCCTGCCATCCCCATCTTGGGCCCCAGAGGAGGCTGGGAGGTAGAGGACCCACCTTGACATCAAGGGAGGCAATCTCCTGCTGATTGGTGGTAGAGGCCAGGAAATTGCTCATCTGGGCCTTGAGCGGGTCATCCACCTCCACGTCAATGTCATAACAGGCTGTCTTCTTCTGGTCATTAGGATCCACACTACAGATACAAGGCAGGACAGGGTGGGAAAGGTGAGCACACAGCCGTCTCCGTCCCGCCCACCAGGGCCAAATGCACACACTCTGGGAGCAAGCAACCAAACCTGCTGCTTCTCTTTGGCTTTACATCAGCCAAAGGTAAACTGCTCTTAGACGAGCCCTCCCATCCCCTACTTCCCACTTACCTAATGACATGGTTGATGACAATGGGGTCCGGATGCTGCAGCAACCCAGCCAGCTTCATAGGAATCTCAGAGAAACGGAGTCGGCCACAACTGAAGATCTGGAGAGGGCACCAGAGGGTTGGTGATGCCTCTGAGGGCATAAAGGGAAGTGGACCCAGAGTCCCAGGGTCCATGAGGAGAAGGTGGCCAAGGACTGGCCAGTGGGGCTCTGGAGCAGCAGGCAAGGCAGGGGCTGCGAGACTAGAGTGGGGTGGCATCCCAGCTAACCTGGCGGAAGTAACGGTTGCAATTGATGTACTCGCGCTCGTGGCCATCCTGCAGCTGGTTGTGTTTGATGTAAAGCCACAGGGCCTGCATGATGGCAGCCCTCGTCTGCGTGTGCACCCCCAGCAGCCTTGCCAGTCGGGGGTCCAACTTGTACTGGGGAGGCTGGGAATGGACAGAGGAGATCAGAGGAGGGGTTCTTGTGAAAAATCAAAGTGGGAGAATAGGGCAGGGATAGGAAGGGTTTACAATAAGAACCTGCTCCTGTCCCCTAGAAGGGCATCCCTATGACCCCAGACATGGCCCCAGGGCATGTCACCTGATGATCCAGCATGAGCAGGAGAGTGCATTTGACGTTGAGGTCTCCAGGCCGTTTCACCTGGAAGCCATCTGTCTCCTGGGTGGTGGGCATCCGGTGCCACTGACAGGGAGGAGGGAAGAAGAGCATGCACATGTGGCCCTGCAAGGGGACCAAGGACATTTCTCTGCCCACCTAGCAGGTCAGCCTGTGCACCAGAACCTCAGGCCCACTCTCACCTCCACCAGGTGGTTGTCAGGCCCGTACAGTTCCTTGTCCAGCTCAATGACGAGGCTCTTAAAGAATGAAGAAAACTTCCTCTTCTGTTTGCTGGGCTGCAGATACAAAGGGTGTGAGATGCGGGTGCTGCTGAGCTCTCAAGCTTAAGCTATATTAAACTCAAAACAGAGGAATATTGTTTCAGCCCTTAAGCTCAGGGCACTGAGGATTCCTGGGCCCTGAAGGAAGCAGGGAAAAGTGAGAGACTGGAGGCAGGGAAAGGGCTCTATGCAGCCCACTGCCAGCCAATAGAGGACCCTGAATGAGAAAGGGGTACCCCTTCCTCAGGACACTTAACTGCCATCTGCAGGAAAACTGTTATAATAACCATACAAATCTCCAACCTCTTACTAGCCTGGAGCCGTGCTGAGCATGAACTCTGGCAGAGTCGTCCCCCTCAGGCAGGACTTCCCCGGAAGTGCCCAGGTGTCTGGCCCAAGTCTGAAACCCACAGAGGCCACCTCCCCTTCAGACACCTCCTTCCCCAACTCACGTCATCAAGCAGTTTTCCCTCTACTCGGAGTTCCCAAGAAGCCACCTTGTCCCCTGCTGGGGTTCCCCCAGGGGTCCCTGCGGTTCCTGCACCATCACCTTCTGCCTTGCTGGGACTGAACGTATTGGAAATATAGATCCGCAGCTTTCGTTTTTGCTAAAGAAAAAGACAACTGATTAGCTGGAGGCGGACCAACGTGTTGGAAAACAATGCCACCCAATCTTCCCAACCAAACTCATTCGGCAATCAACACAGTGACTGTGGGCCAGGCCCCTTGTTAGGTGCTGGAATCAGGAGTAGGAAATCCCAGTCCTGGTCTTCAGTGAACTCACAGTTTTATAGGGGAGACAGATGTACTACCAACAGTTCCAACAAAAGGGGATCAGTGGTGTGACAGAGGTACAAACAGGGTGCTATCAGGCAAATCAGAAGCTTCTGGCTCATATTTTAAATGAAACTGAAACACCCACCATGGCCCCAAAATATCATCCCTTGAATAGTGAAGGAAAGCCTTCACTATTCAAGGGACTGTTCTACATTACTATTTTTTAAAAAGAAAGAGAAAAAAAGAAAGGAAAACTTCTCTAGGGATGGGGAAGAAGATACGAACTATCCTTATCTACCCTCTAGTTTTGCCTTTCAAACTTCTGACCATGATCTATAATATTTACATTTTAAATCATGATCCAGGATCCACACACACGCACATATTTATATCTAAAACAAAAATCTCATAAAATAATTTCTTTGCCACTATGGTAAGTACTATTGTGAGGAATTATTGTAATTTCTACTATTTTATATTTCATTAAAAACACGCTGGCCCTACCACTTTACACTGAGTTCGTGCTCGATGGGCAGTATCCTGCAGTGTGATTAATCCTGCTCTAGCCCATCGCAGACCCTCGCTCAGCCCCTGAAAACCAGGCCAGGGAGAGGCAGAGAAGCTTGGGAAGGCCCAGTAGCGGCCAGGTCTGCATATACCGTCAGAGGCTTTTTGATGGCCTCCTGGATCTCCATCCGCTTTCGAGCAATGGTCTGGTCCAGCTTCCGCTCAAAAGCCAAGAGATCCATGTACGCCTGAGACTCTGGGACAAGCTCCCGAATCTGGAGGAAGGGAGAAGGAATTTATTCATCAGCTTGTTTCAGCTGTAACTCTGGCTCCTTCCTCCCTTCCTTCTACCCCAAGCTGACCAGCCACTGGGTGGGCCTCCTGGGCCCCCTCCCAACATACTCACTCGCTGAGGTAGAACTTTATCTGCCATCTTCCTCCTCTTTAACCTGGGAGGACAGAAACCCCTTAAGAGGTCAATGGTCCAAAGGACCTCCCCCCAGCCCCATCTACCTCTCCAGTCCCCAGGACCTTCCCCCAAGAGAACCAGGAGACTTCATCAGTCATCACAGCTCTTAGGACAGAAGGAAACCCTCTGTTCCACTAGAGCTGTGCTAAGTAGGGTAGGAGAAACAGGATGGTCTTACCCCCGGCGCTGGGCAGGCATCGGGGGCTGGGCCTGGGGCACAAGCAGGCGTTTTCGGAATGGGTCCATCATGGTGGGTGGCATGCCAGGTCGAAGTGGAGCAGCTGTGCCAAATGGGGAGCCGGCAGGGGGTCCCACCTGCAAGCCAGCCATGGGCATCCGGCTCCCTGGTGACATGCCAGGCCGCTGAGGGAAGTGAGCCAATGGGGGTACATAGGTCAGCGGCAGGGCCCTACGGGGCCCATAACTCATTCCCTCCATCCCTCTCCTCGGCCGGGTCCAGCCCTGAGTGGCACGCCAGAGCCCAGGCAGGAGTGCCAGGAACAAAGGGGAGCAGGCACTCGAGAGCAGAAGTGTAAACCACACCTGCCCCGCCCCCTTCAACCGCCCTGGCAGCTGTGCCAGCGAATGAGGCCTGCAGAGCCCAGGGGGTGGGTGGGAGGAGAATCCTGCCCGCAGAGAGAAGGGCCCACAGGAGTTTCTCAGGGCCCATCGCCACCTTCCAACCACCTTCCAACCCTAGCAGACTGTGCCCCTGCTCCTGGGGAACAGCCGGCTTCTAGGCACTCTGGAGGCTCTCAGATGTTTCCACCAAGCACTCCCATCCCTCTCTTTCTCCCAACTGGAGGGAGAAGCGCAGCACAGGAGGCCTGGGGAAAGTGTCACAGCCAGGCGGTGGGGTGCAGTGTGATATGAGCAGGCTGACGGGCACAGCCCCAATGTCCATCCCCTGTCGCCAGCCTGGTGGTGTGACTGAGGGAAGAAAGGCAGTCCAATGGGCTGGCAAGCCAACCAGGCAGCGGCACCCCAGGTGAGCAAGCTGCAACAGGAGGCCTTGGAGCACGTCCCAGTGGGTGGAGGGGAGAGCTCAGGCAGAGTACAGAGACCATCTGGTCGCCATATGGCCCCTGCTCACAACCCGGAAGTGGACCCTTCTCTCACCTCCCTGCTGCCTGGCCCCCAATCCCTACGCCAGAAGATCCCAAAGGGGAAGCTGTGGCTCCTGAGTGGTCGGAGGGAGAGAGAGCAGCTGGCACCTGGTCTCTGCCCGTGGTCCACACACCACCTGGCAGCTGGGGCTGGTCTAGGCTCAGCGTAGCCCTGGCAATGCCAGACTGGAGAACGGAGATTAGATTATCCTGGGATGCAAGGACCAAAGCCTTAGGGTCAGCAGAGGAATCTGGGTGAGAGGCGGCTTCTTTAGAAGCCTGCAGAAGGATTTCCCATCGAGGTCCAGCCCCCAACATTTCTGTGGAGCCCATCTGGGAGTAACCCCCACCCCCCTTCCCCATGGCTGCTGCCTGTAAGGCCTGTTTGGCAGCTCTGCCTCGCACACACTGTCCCTGGCAGCTTCACAGGGCTGGCCCCAGGGCCCAGATTATGCAACCAGCACAACCAGCCAACCAAGCCAGGCTGGGTGGGGACTCGCACCGAATCAAAGGACCCCCGCCCCCAGCCCAGCATCACAGAGATGAGACTCCCACTCCACCTCTTCATCTAGCCCTAAACCCATGTTCTCACCAAGGAGGGTCAGATTCTTGACCAGATGCAGAGATGGAGAGAAACAAGCCCCAGAGACGTGGGGAAGGGGAAAAGAGTAGGGTGGGAAGGAGGCGTTTGAGAGGATGGGGTTAAACATGGGGGGCTCTGGGACTTTTGGAGTCCTGCCACAAGTCTCTTCTCATCAGGAAGAGATTCAGCTGAGCTGCTGAGAGGCGAAAGACAGTCTGTTTCTCTGCCTTAATGAGCCACAGCCAGAGATGATAAAAAACAACACTCAGGGTGGCCACAGAGGTAAGCCCAGCACCAAGCACCCTGGGCTTTAGTCTTTGCCAGCAGCTCCTGAGCTGAAGGGGAGGAAAAACTGAAGCGGGGACCTGCAGAGAGGGAGCAAAGGCCTCCTCGCTAGGCGGCTCACAAAACCTCGGCAACACTGACTCCGCCTAGGCAGGTGCTCCCGGAACAGGAAGTCCCCGAACCAGGCGGCAGGCAGGGAAGAGGCCCCTCCAGACATCTGCTCCAGACTTCCCAGGCGCGGAGCGCCAGCTCGCCAGGGCCCCAGGCTTCTCCCGAGGGGGAAGGGGCCCAGGGAAAGGCTGCTTACAGTTCATGAAGTCCCAGCTCGACCCTGCCAAGCTCCACACCTGGGCTCTGAAGCACCAGTAACTCCTCCTCTTCTAAAAAACAACCCAAGAAGTTAAAAAAAAAAA